CCCCCCCCCTCTCGCTATGCTTTTGTATATCTTATGGATCAGGTCGAATCGCCCGTGGTCGAGTACTGCGAAGCGCTGGTCACCCAAGGTGATGACGTTCAACGCCAGGCACTCAAGGTACATGTAATGCTGTGCAGCGCTGAGTTGTACCCAGCCATTGAAAGTGAAGCAGCCGGCGCCAAACAGCGGTGCTGTTGTGAGGTTATTCGGGGTTGTGCTCGACGCGTCTTCTTCGCCTATCCACGGTCGATATTCGTCGAGATCAGCAATCTCTGCACATCGTTTTGTTATTTTGCGTAATGGAACCCAAGCTAGCTTAAGATTCCAAGGAGTCGGTCTTGGGTAGGAAGGTTCCTGTTCGCCCAAACTGTTGGATGTTCGTCTACCGGTGTTGTCACCCGATGCGCTTCATTCTCCGTGGAGGGTGTGCCAGTACAACAGGAAACAACGGGGTGTCAGCACAAGCAGCTCCGAAATGGGAGCCCGTTCTGTCCTGGTTTTCCATCCATGTGCCCACGGGGCCTTGTGCGAAGCATGTTGTACCTTAAGGAGTTCTGGTTCTTTTTGGACTTCAATTAGCGGTTGACAGCAAACACGTCATCCCCGCGACACGCCCTCATACGTCTCCATCTGTCTTTGTTTTTCTCCCTCCCTCTCGCTCTCCCTCCCTCTTTCTTCCTCTCCCCTAGCGTTTAACATGTGCCTTGGTTAAAGCGTCACCCTTCCACTCCCCATTTGGTTCTCTATCGACCTCTCGACATGCCCACCTTCTTACCTGGCCGGGTACACAACCTTTTTACTCCCCGACCTGTTCCTTTCTCATGCTTCTTCAACGCCTGCAGGTCCTCGAGCCCACGCTCAACGACATGGAGGACGAAAGCGACTTCCCAGATTCTGATGAAATCATCATCGTCAGCAGCAGCAGTAGCAACGGGGTGGCGAGCGATAGCGAGGGCGAAAGGGATGGCAGTGTAGACATCAATGGCCGGAGGGCCCCGGCCACGTCGAGGAGCAGCACCGAGAACCTTCCCAATAATCTTCCCGAGAACCTTCCCGAGACCCTTCCTGAGGGCCTTCCCGAGAACCTCCCCGAGAACCGTTCCGAGAGTCGCCGTTCGGAGAACCGTTCTCGGGAACGCCTGGCGTGGCGCTGCGTGGAGGCGGCGCGCTCGGCCTCCCGGCTCCTGCCTCGCCTGACGGCTCACGCGCTGCTCCCGGCGTCCGCCCTCCGGCTGCCCCACTCCTGCACCCCCGCCGCCCGTGTGCCTGCCGGAGACCGCCGCAGCTACAACGTCGGCGGCGGTGGCGTCGTTTCTGGTGCTCCGACCGCCGGTGCCGCTGGGTGGCCCTTGGCGGTGGCCACTGTCGCCCTGAGGGACCTTGCCGCCGGGGAGGCGTTATCCTGCTCCTGGGTGGACCCGGAAGAGCCGTTTTCGGTCCGGATGGCCAGGCTCGAGGAGTACTCCCGAGTCCCACCGTGGGCTTCCGATGATGATGATGATGTCCCGACCGCCGGTGATTGCGCCGCCTCTTCTTGTCCTCTCGAGGGCGGTGTGGGCGGCGGCGGCGGTGGCGGCAATGACTGCCGAGGTTCAAAAGAGACCGGGGTCTCCGGGAGAAGCGGCGAAGGAACGCTAGCATCATTACAATTTCCCCGCGGGCGTGGTTGCGGCTGCCCAAAGTGCCTGGTGGAAAGCGGGGGCTTAGCCGGCGGCGGTAGCGAAGGGGTGTCGAGCGCAGGGGCGGCGGAGCGGCTGCTCAAGGTTGCCCAGCAGGCGGTGGATGAAGACCGGTGAGGGGGGGGCGTCTAAATATCCGGCTGAATCGCTGCCTGAGAGCAAGAGGATGCTTTGATCTCCCCGGTTGGTTTGGCGTTTAGCGGATTGTTTTGGTTCCGGGAAGCTGGAGTGATTGGCCAACCTGTGACGGTGGTTGACAGTTATAAGTGCTGGTGCGCGGCGGCAACGTGTGGTGTAAACGCCACGGCATGATTGTCTTCACTCCCCCCCAGCCTCCCATGTACAAATGTGTCGCGTGGTAGAAGGCGGTAGTTTCTGACAAAAAAGTGTTCTGCGACGTACCCTCTTGCCAGGATCCTCCCTTACCCGGGTAATGTAACCATGCCATCAAGGTCAGACCCTTATCTAAGCGCATGATGTCCATGCGTCCCCCCCTTCTCGTCCCCCTCCCCCCCCCCACCGACTTCCTCCATCTTCAAGCTTCGACGATGCGTTCGAAGCGTTATCAAGGGCAGCCAGGGCTGCACCGGACAACGCGGATGTCCTCTACCGAGCCGGTGTTTGCGCCATTAACCAGGGACGGTGGAGCAGGTGCAAATTGAAGCTAACCAGTAGACACTTAGTTCCCGTCAGCGGGGCGGGGCAGTGAGATTTGTTTTTCCTTCTCCAGGCTTTGGCACACGCAGGATCTCGTTTTGTCGCAGTGCAGTTCTTCCCAGGGAAGGGTTCAACTCTTCCACGCATTGCCTCAATGCTCGTGGCAAAGGCCCGCGACACGCTTCTTAGAACGCGCCATGGACTGGCTTTAGGCTTTACGATGAGTGAGTGGATGGATGGATGGATGGATGGATGGATGGGCACATTGACTTTACCTCCACCATGGGTGAGGGTGTGGATAGCTGAAATAGATATGTGCCGCACGACCCCGGCAGCGCCATGCGTGGACATCGTCACCGCAGTTCACGACTTCACCGATGCTCGCCGCGAAGAAGTGTTCCGATCTTCTGCGCCAGCCTTTCCTGCCCGCGGGCGTAGTAGCCGGTCAATAAGGTTGCGGAGGAACCGGTGGCTCTGCGCTCAGCGCCAACGTATGTAGCCGATTTTTCGGAACCGCCGTCGATCCTACCCCCTGCCATGTTAACGAAGCGTTAGCTTCCTCCTAGGTTGAAAAAACTCCGGCGGATTTAGTTTACGCAGGCGACGCGTGGTGCACACAAGTACCGTGGCCGTGGTACGCTGTCGGGCGTTGTGGAGGCCTGTGGTATTGTTTTGATCCTCGCCTCCGCGTTGGACATGGTTCTGGCTGTGCCAGACGTGGACCGGGCAGGATCCCACGCCCCCCCCCCCCCCCCCCCCCCCCCCCCCCCCCCCCCCC